TGGAACTCTTGATTTCGGACTCATGAATCCGAGTCTTTGGTCTCCTGAATTCTAAATTTCTTAAATTTGAACTAGAATTCTAGGACACCTCTACTGTTCTAAAGCTCTTATTTTTTCGTTGCCTACTTCTACCTACAGTAATCCTAAGAGGGTAAAACTCAAAAAAAGTGTTCCTGAAATTACGATATTATTATTATTATAGATGCCTCAGGTGAGTTTGAACCCATGGCCAACTTGACGAACCACGAAACGATCTGCAGACTGAGCTACGCAGTCCAGGCTCTGCTTGCCCTCAACCGGCGGATTTTCAGTCTCCATACCCATCCCCATTTCAATCCCCATTCTGAAACCTACCGTATTCCTTTCTCTCCCGAGTTTCTACTTTTGGGCCATGATATTCTGAAAAAGATTCCTAAATTTTAAAACTCAAAAAAATCTCAAAAAACTCTGTTCGAGAAAATCCACTCTAAGCTACAATTCTTGGACACTTTTCTACCCCAAAATTATTGCTTCCTCCGATTCCACTCACCAACTACAGTAATCCCATGCTCTTCTATTGAAGTATCCAATCTCAAAGTCCACCCCCTCCAAAAGTGTAGTGTCTAGAACTCCCTTTTCTCTTCTCATTTTGATTGATGTCTCTTCTCACTTATTCTGACACTGTCTCCTCACCTTCATCTCCTAAATTCGTTCATTTTTTCAGTGATTCGATTCCCCTTCTACAAGCCAGGAGCCAACGTAATTCGATGAGTTTCCACGTGTGTTTGCCATCCCACCAAAAAAAGAGAAAAAGAGCAAAAAAGATTCTTCTCGGAAACCCGAAAAAAAGTGCGTGCGCTTGCGTTGCGGTGGTTTACGGGTGCGGTATACCGTTTCAAGCATGTGCCGTTCCGTCCGGAAGGGATGTCTGCGTCTCTTCGACTCCAACACTATTTCTGTTTACGCGCTCCTCTCCTCACACGCACGAGCGCCCCCGCCCGTCCCTCCGATGGCTAACCGTCATGGAAAAAGAGAAACAAGGCGTTTCGTCCAGTATAAGCCTCTGCGAATCGGCGGTTTCTCTCTCTCTTTTTTACCTTCTTGAATATATACATATTCTTCTTCTTTTTTCCCTTTTCTCTTTTCATTTCTACTTCTCCCAGAGGGGAAACCTGTAATCTTTTGCGGTTTGGTATTTAGTTACGGTTGTTTTATTCTTTTTTTCCCTTTTGTATTGTACCATACATGGCGTCTAGTTCTTGTTTCGGCTTTCTTTGTGGTCATCATTTTTGGGATTTCGGAGAATTTTAGTATTTTTAGCTTTGGGATTAATTTTTTTTGGGTTTTACTAGAAAAATTTCCAAAAGTTTTCATTGGAAGCTTGGGTTTTTAGAACCAGTAACAGCGCCTAGAGTTGAGAATTTTTGATTTTCCGGGTCTCGACAAGAACTGTACCGTATCTCGAATAATTTTGATCCAAGCTCTTTGAAAATGGTAGCATTCGAATCAGCGTGAAAAGTCGGTTCCAATGAGTATAACCATGACTAGGGTTGGAATTTTTTTTTGGAAAATTGGGTCTCGACACGAAAAATGCCGGTCAGCTGCGATTCATATTCTTTGAAAAGGATAGAGTTTCTAGCAGCGAAAAAAACCGGTACTAATGAGCATAATCTTGCCCAGGTTTGAAGAAAAATTGGAAAATTGGGTCTCAAAGCGAAAATTACCGTATCTCGGTTAGCTACGATCCATTTTCTTTGAAAACGGTAGCATTCGACTAAGCGTGAAAATGCGGTTTGACTGAATATATTCTTCCTTTGGCTCCAGAAGATTTACTTTCTGGGTTTTGCCACAAAACTACAGTACCTCTACCAAACTAAAGTTTTAAAGTTTGGGTCTCGAAACGAAAATTAATGTATCTCAGGCAATTTCGATCCATAGTTTTTGAAAATGATACCATTCGAATCAGCTCAGAAAGGCGGTTCAAATGAGTATAATCTTAGCTAGTTTTGAAAAATCGAATTCTCAAAGTTTGGGTCTCGACACGAAAAATACTTTATCTCCATCAATTTCCATCAAATTGTCCTGAAAGCGGGACCATTAGAATCAGTGTGAAACAGCGGTTTGAATGAGTATAAACTTCCTTAGGTTCCAGAAGATTTTTTTCCAGATTTTGGGTCTCAACGCAGAACTACAGTACCTCTACCAAACTCAATTTTGGAAGGTTGGGTCTCGGAACGAAAGGCACTGTATCTCTGTTAGCTGTGACCCGGTTTTTTCGAAAATGGTCCCATACGACTCTGCATAAAAAAACGGCTCAAATAATCATGACAATAATCATGACTAGTTTTGGGAAATTTGAACTTTCAAGATTTGGGTCTCGACACGAAGACTACCGTATCTCGGTTAGCTCTGATCCATACTCTCCGAAAATTGGGTCGTTCGAATCAGCGCTCAAAAACGTTACCTTTTTTTGTAAATCCGATCGAATTCCTTGCTCCAAAAAGAAGGCAAGAATCCCAAATCGACCGAGACAGTAACCTAATAATTAACAACATTGAAAATCTGTCATAAATGCAGATTTATCGACTACAGTAACCCAATTCCAATGTCTCATTCGGCAACAGTAACGTCCATAAATTTCAACATTTTTCCTCCCTTTTTCTCTCGATTTCCTCCCCTAAAAAAGAGAAAATGGACACCACGCCCTTGACCACTACTCCCCAAGTCATAAACTATGTGAAAGAGAGACTGTTTCCCGTTCTTTTTTCCATCATATTTTCGTACAAATCGTCGTATAGTTAGTCATTTTTCTTCAGCGGTCTAATAAAAGGTTCCGGCAAGAAAGTTTACCGCGTAGTTCTCTTATTCCCCTCCTCCATAGGATCCCCCTTCCGATCAGATTAGATTTCTGTTCCACGTCGTCGCCTTCCCCTTCACATATTACTTCCGTTTTTGTGGTAGAAAGAAACCATTCCATCGGAAAATAATCAGAAAAGTATTTGAGTGACTTTTGTTCCCCCTTTTTACCGTTTCTTTGTCGACCATTTCCCCATGTATTTCCAGAGAGAATAGATACTTGAGAACCGGTCAATTATTGAATGAATGAGGAGAGAGAAAGGTTGAGTGGGTCATGAAGTTTCACTCAATACCGTTATTCACATTCATATTGTCACACTCTTTTGGTTGGGTTCCACTCACTCAAAAAGCCTTTTATTTTCGGTTTATTATACTGAGCAATTGGGAAAATTTGTAATTTCGTCCAAAATCCATTCATTTCGGATCAAAGCTACTGGAAACAATTTCCTTTAAAAATCTAAAAAATCGGGATTGGTGGTCTAAGGTTCCAAACTTCTGATTTTCCTGGCCAAGTATACTCAAAATCTGTACCTTAACGTCCCAAACAAAATGCGATTTTCAGAATCGAAAAATATCGAGTTTCAGCCGAGTTATAGCTAAAATACCTAAGTATTTTATTCTGAGCAATTGCTGGAAATTTCGTAAATACGCTCAAAATTTATTAGTTTCGAATCTAAGAAAACTGAACCGGCCCAGAAGCTACAAAAGAATTCCTACCAAAATCATTGAAAATTGAGATTGGTAACCTAGAAACCCAATTTTAGATTTTCTAGGCCACCAAAACCCAATTATACTCGAAATGTACCTTACAATCCCAAATTGAATACGATTTTCAGAATCAAAAAATATTGAGTTTCAGCCGAGTGATGGTCAAAATACCTAAATATTTTATTCTGAACAATTGCTAGAAATCGCTATAACTCGGCTCAAAACCATTATTTTCGGCTTCTCTAAAAACCAATACGTTTGGATTGAACTGGTTCTTAGGTGTCAACAATTGATGACCTAGAAATCTTTTTTTTGATGAGCTCAAAATCCAAAAATGGCAAAAGCCAGGCCATCATTGAGAATTGTTCGAAAATCGCCTAACTTTACTCAAATTCTCCCAAGCTTTTTCAGGTCTAGGGGCTACGACTTCTGAAAACACACATTTCGAAAGAGAGTTCTGAAAACTCGACTAGCTGAAACTCCAAAGTATATAGTCCTTCTGAAAAAAACGTTCTGAAACTACGAAGCCCAAATTCTCTCCTTAATTTTTTTTCCTACCATGTTCCTAATCACCTCCATACCAACCCGTGTCTTCCCATAGGCTCACCTGAACCATGCTTCCCCTTTCCGAAAAGCTTCTTAAGCGACAAAAAGAAGTTCCTAGCGGTGTGGTCGTCGGGTTTCTCCTTTAACCGACCATTCGTCATAATGTCCACACAGTGTTCTAATCCATAACGTCATTTCCTATTGACCATTTCTCTGCCACGTCAGTACCCCATCTTTCGAAACATCTTCCATTGGCTCCTGGATCCAGGTGGTACCATCATCTCATGTTTTGTCCTAGATTTCCTGTTGGACGGTATCCTTTGTCCTTCTCCATGACAGATTGATTGACCACCGGTCGGTGACGGAGATTTTCTTCAGAAGAAAAGTGACCTTGAATCGTCACCCACCTCTTCTTCAACCGAATATCCAACGGGTTTAATTTATTTTTTTTTGCCTAAACCACAAAGAAAAATCCCAGTTGGCAACATTCCAAGTGTCTATTTGTTTATGTGTTCCTCCCGGTCTTTATGTACTTTTCGTCAAATCTTTCTCCAAGACTTTTCGAGAAAAACGACGCGGAAATGTTTGCGGAGAGAGAGAGAGAAAAGAGAACGCGCGGAAGAATAAAAACTCTCTAGAAGATTCTATATGTGTTTGTATCAGTAATACGAGGGAGAGGGAAAGCGAGACGCCCTCCGAATTATTATTATTATTATTTGTATATACATATAGATTTTCGGAGGGAAGAGGAGGAAAACGATATGAATTTATTCATGGAACTTTTCGCAACTTTTTTGTGTACATATTCAGTAGACACTATAGTTAGAAGCTACTGCTTATCCTGGGAAGCAGCTCTGATAGAGAAAAAACACGCAGTAACTTCTACCCCCTCTTACCTGTTGTCAAATAGTGCGCCGGTGGCGCAGCGGTTAGCGCTGCTGTTTTGGAAATTTTCAACGCGGGTTCGACCCCCCGCGGGGAAATTTCTTTTTTCCTTTTACCAAATACAATTTTTATTGCTCATTTTCTGAGAATAATCTAAAAATGAGCATTTCCTATGAGTTCTAGTGCTCATCACTTCCTCAGATCTATGTTTATTTTTCCGTGAACGTCACTTTTTTCTAAACCATTCCCTGGAATGGCTTTATGACCTGCCCCCATGACTCAGACCCACAAATGAATACTTAATTCCCCTCGATGAATCACAATCAGTTTTCTTCCATCTCATCTAACCCCCTAGTTTTTCCTTGAATTGCGGAAAAGTTTTAGAGGTCAGCGCCCTCAGCGGGCCGTTTTGCGGTAGACAAGAAAAAAGAAAGAGAGAAAGACACCGAAAACAGCTGTTCCGATTGGATCTGACGTTTCTCGGTAGTTTTAAGAGGAAGGAAGTACACTTTTCGAGTCTTTTTGACCTCTATCTCATGCCAATTATTCTCCTTTCATTTTAATTCTAAATTGACATGACCCAGACTATAAACCAATTTTCATATTAGTTAGGGAAAAATGGTTTTGTGTTTTGGATGTTTTAAACTGGGTTTCAGTTTTGACGTCAGTCCAGAAAGGCACAGGAGAGAGGAGAAAAAGCGCAATGAACTGTAAGCCCTCCCACTCCGCATGCCGGTGATGCACAGATGGTTTAGTGGTTAGCGCTCTTGGTTTTGAATTCTCCAACGCGGGTTCAATTCCTGAAGGGGTCAAATCTCTTTTTAATTTTTTTTACAATGATTCTGATTCTTTTTGAACTGCATTTCACTTTCTACGCGGCTCCAGTACCTTTGCTTAGCACTAGATCGAAGGCCCCATAAGGTGTAAGCCTTCCTCCCGTGCCTGGGTTGTTGCACTAACGGCGAAGTGGTTAGCACTTTTGGTTTTGAACTTTTCAACGCGGGTTCAAACTCCACTGGGGCCAAATCTTTTTTTTTTCAACTTTTTTTTAGAACTGACCCTTGATCCTATTTGTGAATCTCAAGGTCTCTTCTAACAATCATTTTTTGTTTCATTTCGCTCGCCCCAAATTTCGAAGATGACCTTCTTCTCAATTATTTGTTTTTCACTTCATTTGACCCAATAAACTCTTTAGTATTACTACTTTTTTTTTCACTTTTTTCCCAATGTTTCATGGAAAATCTAGTTGAAGGAGGGGAAGGGGGGAAAGAAGCAATTAGGCTGGCTTTCCCCCCGGGTCGTCGTCACATGAAAACGAATAATTATAGATGAATGGGAAGGGGGACGGCCCCCCAGATGTCGTCGAATATTATTCGGCGGAAGGAAGGAAGAGAAAGAAAAAGTGAGAGAATGTTCATAATCTTTTGACGGACATCTCATCTCAATTTCTTCAATTTTCTTTTCTCGAAATTTCAAATTTCCCTCTCATCTCATAATTATTATCAACTACTACTGATACACTGACCCTTCAAGTACTCCCCTCTAAAATCTGTCTCCATGTCTCCATGCTGTAATGTGTCTAAATCTCTTCGTGTCCCACACTATCTCGATCAGAAAATGAGAAGAGACGTGTTTTTCGGGTGAGAGAGAGAGAGAAAGCAATCTTCTTCTGGCAAGAAAATTGGAAGGAGAAGGAGACTTTTCTTTTGTTTCCTGTTCATTAATTTATAGCCCTCACCCCATCAACCTCTTCTCTTTTCCCTTTTTCTGTTATTTTTTCACATTTCTTCTTTGTGTTTTTGGACTAGGTGTTGTTCTAAAAACTGAAAAAAGTGACCTTCTGTTGCCTTTTGTTTTTAACATGATGGTCAGTTTTCAGGTTTTTTCTTGAGGTTAGGCGAACAAAGAGCGCTTTTGTTTCTCTGACTTTTCAATGTTTCTTGGGGGCTTTAGGAGTTTTACCTGTAATTGAAGGGCACCCTCTAGCTCCGTAAAGCTCCGTATTTTCAATTGATCCTTAAAATGAGAATTTTGAGATTTTGACCTCAGATAAGCCTAAATTGTACGGAGGATCTGGAAAAAAGCATCAGTTTTTCCGGGCTGGAACTAGGAAATTCCAAAGACTGGTGGTCAAAAAACCTCAATATTTTATTTTGAGCAATCAGGAAAATTGTTCAAAATTCATTGATATTGGATCTAAAAATTATGGAAACAACTTTTCAAAAATCGTGATTGGTGGCCTAGAAACTCACATTTTTGGTTTTCTAGGCCAAGAAGGTTCAAAATATTCGCTTCATCGTCCCAAACTGATTGAGATTTTCTGAATCGAAAAATGTTGAATCCCAGCTGAGTTATAGCCAAAATACCCAATTATTTTATTCTGAGCAATTGCTAGAAATCGCTATAATTCGTCTCGAAAACAACATGTTTTGATTTTCTAAAAACTGGTTTTTTTCAGGAAGTACTACCGGATCATTCTTAGGTGTCAAAATGTGATGACCTAAAAATCCAAAAAAAAGAGAAAAGTTAGGCCATCACTGAAAAATTGAAAAAGGAAAATTACCCTGTTTCCGTCGCACTTTCAAAAACCTACCGTTTTCCTTTGGTTCCATCTGAAAGGAACCGATCAGTTTTGCAAAATTTTTCTTTTTGACCAAATTCTCATTGCAAGATCCTGAACCCAAACATGCTCTTATATTGGAAGACTTTTTTTTCATTTTGCTAAAAAAACAGCCCAATAACTCTAAGCAATCTGACCTTCCAGAAACTTCTCCCAACTCCCTCACTCCTCCCCTCATGATATTTTTAGCACACAGACACGTACTGTTCAGTTGCCTTATGACTCCTGAACTCTGTTTTCGTTCGAAAAACAGTTTCCGTTTTTTGACTCCTTCTTTGCCACGTCATTCCTCTCTTTGTTATCTACTGTCACGCCCACTCAATTTTCAACTGATTAATCAAAAAAAAGGTAATCACCTCATAAATGAGAGGAGAAACTTTCTAGTTTTTATGTCGTTCTTCTTTTTTTCTTTTTTTGAATTTTAGTTTTTAGTCTGGCGCCTTTTTGGTTTCCGATTGGGGAGCACCTAGAGAATTTGTGGGGAAACCCAAAATGTCAGAAAAAAAAAGAACACCTCCGCAACATTTTTGAAAACGAGTTCAAACATAAAGACTCCCGTTTGTTAAATTGAACTTTCGGTCAGACAACGGGAGTACCTGTAGACTTTGTACCTCGTGTTTGGAAACAAAAGTTAGAGATTTTTTAAAATTTTTTTGAGATTCAGAAAATTCCTGGTCTAAACGGTTTTTTGAAGGCAAGTAGGGTCTAAATCTGAATCCTTGATTTTCTAAAAAAAAAAGTAAAAAAAATTGACCCCGGTTGGGATTGAACCCGCGTTGAAAATTTCCTAAAACGCACCGCTAACCACTAGGCCGTGGGTGCAACTGCTTTCCCAGTTGCGTGGCGCAGTCGGTAGCGCATCAGGGGTCTACAAGACAGGTCCCGGGTTCGAACCCTCCAGGGGTGTTTTTTTTTAATTTTTTTTTCTGAGAGCATTTTTTTGGGTCACAGTCCTTTAGGGTTCTCATTTGAATGAGAATTCCCCCGCCACGTGCAAAACAGCGCTTCAAATTTTTTTCAAAATTTCAAAAATGTCCTTCACACCTTTTTTTTTTTAGAAATTCTTTCTCTTAAAAAGGTGTCTGGAAACGGAAAAAAGCAACCCCACCCTTTTGAATTCCCGCATAAACTCTCAAAAACCTCGCGATAATCTATCATAAACCCGTCATTCGTCCAAGACACTTTGCCTAAAATATTTCAAATTCTTTTTTCCATTCATTTTCGAACTCTTCAGTTTGATTGAAAGTTACCTAAAAAGTTATTGACTCTCGAATCGAAAATTTTATCATTTTATCATTTCAATTCTCCATAAACCAATTAATTTTCGTTGAATTAAAACGAAACTTTGATCACTTCTTTTCCCCTTATCAGCTCGACAGTTTATGCTCCTCCTATTCTTCTTTATTTACAAAAATATATAGGGAAGATGCTCTCTTCTGCTTTGCTTCCAACTAAAAAGTTGTTTGCTGACGACTAAAAAAAATTATCATATCGAATCGAAATGTGTTGACTTTTTTTGGGGAGTTGAACATGTATACAACTTTATGTTCAACTTTATACATTTTTATGACGACTAAAAATATATCAAAATCTTCCAAAAGTGTATGTAAATATTAGAGAAGAGCAGCATCGAGTTTCCGGTGAGTAGGGGGAGAAAGAAGAACGATTTTATACTTTTTTGACCCAGACTTTACTTTTTTTTTTCGTATAGTTTTTGCTCCAAATTTTTTCTTCCTGAAAAAACTTTCTTGGATTACGGTAGTTTTTATTGATTATTCAAAAATCGGGAATTATGACTTTTGATACAAAAATCCCAGAATCCAGGGCTGAAGTTCCCTAAAACCTCTATTATAAGAGCACTTGGTTTTTGAGCTCTCTTATTTATTACAACAGAATTTTTTTTAAATCATGTCCCGCATTCCAACGTTGCTCTCTTCCCCCCCCCCTCTTTACGATCATCAACTGAAAAGCTCAGTAATCTGTAACCCATCTACACCTTTAGCTGATGTTGCACCCGTAGCTAAGTGGTTAACACAGCTGTTTTGAAAATTTTCAATGCGGGTTCGAACCCCACCGGGGTAATCCTTTTTTGTTTCTTTGTTTTTGCTTTTTACTACCTCTCAGTTGTATTTTTTTGGTATTTCAAGACATGCCGCTCTATTACAGAAATCTTCTCTTGCCATCCCATATACAAAACTTGTGAAAAAGCCCAGTAACATGTAAGCCTTCTACCCCCTCCTTCGGTTTCTGTATCTGTGGTGTAGCTGTTAGCGCTGCCGTTTTAGAAATTTTCAGCGCTGGTTCAAACTCACCCGGGTCCAAATTTTTTTGTTTTTTTTTTAAATCAAGATTTTGGGGTAACAGAGTGCCTACTTTTTTTAATTTCTGAAAATTCACCATTTCCTAAGACATGCCACTCTATTAAAGGTCCTCCTGACAATATCTATTCCAATTTTTCATTCAATTCCAGCAGCCCCAATAGAAACAAAAAGTGTCAGACACACAGGTAAAACCGAGGACTGTGCATAATCGACCGGTTTTCCTCGTTGCCCTCCCCCCATTCCGCTTCCACTCCCTCTCACTTTTCCCCCCTCAAAGCCAAAAAACTTTTACTCTGATGTTACTCCCGTTTCACTTTTTCTCCCCCACCGAATACTTTTCCAATACTTTCCAACTTTCTACTCCTGCTGCAAAAATCTCCATTTCTGTTTTCCTTGTGGATTATAAAATCCTTTTCTCTCCTTTTCTTTTTTCACTCATTCCGTTCCTTTGCCATCTTCTTCTTTGAATTTTCACACGTACTTTTACAGGTTAACCTAACAAAAAAAGAAATGGCACCAAGAGAGGATTCACCATACACCACACTTGGAATTTCATCCACATCAGATGACGTTGAAATTAAGAAGGCGTTAGTTTTTTTTCCTATTCGAAGGGCAACCCTATTTTTGATTTTTGATAAGGAAAGCAGACAAAGTTTGCCATATTTGAAATGTCTTTTAGGGTGAATCTTGTTTAGAAAACTTTTTTTTTTGATTGCACAAGATCTTAATGTACATTTTAAACAAACTTTTGGGCCTGAACTTGGGGAATCTTCAAAAATTTTGATGTGAAAAAAAAATCAAATAAATCTACCGTAACGCTGAAAATATAGAAACTTTTTCGGAAAATCGTTACAAAAAGTAGGGAACCTTTAAAAAAATGTACAGTACTCTTCAACAAAAAATATTCCAGATACCGTAAACTGGCACTGAAATGGCACCCCGACAAGCACACAGACGACAAATCAAAAGAAGAAGCCGAGCAGAAGTTCAAGAAGATTGCACAAGCCTACGAAATCCTTACTGATAGTGAGTAGTTTACCTGGAATTTCGGTCAAAGTTTTACGGCGTCGTTAAAATTTTTATGAGTTCCTGGAAGAGGAACACAAACTAGAGTTAAAAAAGTTGCTAATTTTGGAGCTGTATAAGTTGGTTGCCGTAAGAGATAGAGAAAAGTTTTCAACTAGTAAAAGTTGTAAAATTGCTTGGTGAGCATTTCTTCAGTTGACAATTTTTCGCTATTTCTGCTTTTAACCTAGATACAATGCTTCAAACTGGTAATATATCCTGTAGAGAGGATGCTGTCAGGTTTGAGGCTCCGTATCTCGGTTGGAATAAAAGATAGAACAAAGTGTTCAACCGGTAAATTTTGCAAAATTGCATGACAAAAATTTTCTTAGTTGACAACTTTTTGCTATCTCCACTCTCAGCCATTATATGAAGCTTGAAACACAAAGTTCGTATTGCAAATGGTGTTACGGTAGCTCCCAAACACCAAATTCCACGATAAAATGCAGACGCTGCTCCTCTAGTTTGATCTACCAAGTCTACACAGTATAGTTCGTATCATTCTCAGAAAAAAATGTGTATGTTTGACGTGGGTATTTTATTACCATCGTTAACTTTTTTGTGGGTTTCTTTTCCCACCGATATCAGGAATTTTTTGGACTCGATTCCGAGAACTATAGTTTTTTATAGATTAAAAACGGTGTTGTGCGTCGAGAAAAAGTTTTAAAAAAAGAAAAAAAAGTTTGGGACCATCCGGATTCGAACCCCGGATCGAAATTTCCAAAACGAACGCGTTAACCGCTGCGCCATGGGTGCAACACTAGAACGCAAGGTAGAGGGCATATTCGAAAGCGGACCTTTCTCTGTCTTTCTGCAAGAGGAGTTCTGAATTACAATTCCTTATCCGGAAGAACAAAAAAAAAACAGAAAACAGCTTCGTTTATTTATTTACCGAGACACTTATTCTTCCTGTTTTTTTGATAGAATGAACTCAACACAAAAACATTCATCTTGTACACACATTTCGGACGTACCGAGGGATGAACATGCAACAAAAAAAACAATTTCTAGGTGGACTGACACTTTTTTTTTGAAAATCAAAGAAAAGAGCAAACAGAACTATGAGATTTAGAGATAAAAGTGAGAAAAGTGTGTAAACTAGTGTATTTTATTGTGTAACAATTGCCTTCGTCTTCAAGCACCTGCTCTTGAGAAGTTTGTCAATTAGTTGTGTTGAAAAATGAAAGAGAGAGAGAGAGAGAGAGAGAGAGAGAGACAAGGACTAAAGAACAGACAGAAGGAAGAGTACTATGATATTATTGGCAAATAAAAAACTTCGGGAAGAAAGAGAGAGTTGAAAGTGCACGTTTTGTGTCAAAATTCGAAATTAATAGGATTATTTTGATAGGTTTGAAGGCGCACGAAAAAATTTTTTTGAAAAAAATAGATCCCATCACGATTGCAGATATTACTGTAGTTTTCGGAATATTTGTGTTGGGACGGGCCGAGCCCTGCCAGGAGTTTTCAGGAAGCCTACCGCGAATTTTGAAAATTTTCAGAAAAAAAAACCTAAATTTTGGGCTCCTCCAGCTTATAATGAGCATTTCAAACAGGATTTTTTGAATTTTTTGAATTTAGGATTTTATGCTAGCATTTTACAGAGTTTTGGTAATTTTTTTTGCGAAAAAACTTAAAATTTTCAAAAAATGCAAAATTTTTTGAATTCGGTCGGCCGAGCTGAGATTTTACAAGAAAAAAAGTGTGACAGTAATATTTTTTCGCGGTGAGACCTGGAAAAAAAATTTTATTTGAAAAAATAATTTGCTGAACGCGTTCCCAGACACATTAAGCATACCGTATGATTCGTAGGTTCGAAAAGTCACAATTCAATTTTTTCACTTTCAAAAAATATCCGAAATTTTCGGATTCCCGACTAGACTGCCTCATGATTAATGGATAAAATATATTTTCCAAAAGTTCAAAAACCCTCCAAACGAAAATTCATAAAATTCACAAAAACCTAAATTGTGCAGAAAAGAAGAGAGCCGACCTGGATCGATCAGAGAATCCGGGACTCCATCGTCGTCGCAGCACTCCAGGAATGCACCGAATGCATAGTCACGACATGTTCCGATCGCCATTCGATATTTTTCGCGAATTCTTCGGAAATCGGGACCCATTCGAGAATGTTTTCTTCGACGACGCTTTCACATTTCCCGATGTCGACTCATATGCATTCAAAAATGTCCCACGGTCAGCGGACTTCACGACAAAAAGTTATCATCATCGATTCCCGTCAAGTCGAGTTCACATTTTCTACGACGAGAACAAGAACCACAAGGAGAGAGACGATAAAAAGTAATTTGAGTCTTTTTGAGGTGAAGAAGGATTTCAACTTGAAATTTCAGCTCCTTCTCGACCGTAATCCGATTTTCGAGTCCAACGGAGCCAGGAAAGAATGCGACAGTCAGAAAGACGTCAACATCCACAAAAGTTGTTGATGGAAAGAAGATTGTGACGAAAACTGTGGAAAATGGGGATGAGCATATTGTGGAGGTAAATTTTGAATCATGGGAAAACGAGAACAAATATTTTTTTACCAATTTCAAAAAAACTGACTGGTGGTTTTTTACGCCCCAGCATAGGCTTTTGGAAGTTTTTAAAAATCTATTTTTGAGCTTCCAATTTCTGAGCGCAGTGCAGCAACCGGACGATTCGCTAGAATTTTGTCAGTTGGGTCTCATCACGCCCGAAAAAAGCTTCTGGAGAATTTTTTGGGAAAACCAAAACTCGGCCAGAAAGATCCCTATCGATTGATTTAGCTTTCATATGAGTTTGTTTCAGAAAGTGTTAGCTAAAATCCGTTCATTTCTGGACCAGCTGGGTCTTGTCGCGCTCAAAAGGGAAATTTTTACTGTAGCTACTTTTTACCTGTTTTTCTCAAAAAATCAAAATCGAATTGTGGTTTTTTTTTGAAAATTACTCAAAAAGTAAAACTACAGTAATAAGTTTTTCGTTCGCAACGAGACCCAACTGGCCGAGCGTACCAACCAGTACATTGACTGGAAACTGAAAGTGATGTGTTAAAACTTTATCAGGATTGCACGGGCATGAAAAGTGTTCCGCTCCAAAAACATTTCAGAAAGTGCGCTCTGACGCACTGTTTTTCAAAAATTTTTTGAGATTTTTGTTATTGTTCTTGAAGCTAATAGCAGCATGCAGCACAGAAAAAAAATTGAAAAAAAAATGAAAAAATCGAAATTGGCCGAAAAAAAACAAAGGGGATGGCTCCGTAAATCGACACAAATTTTGCGGGGGTTCAAAAAAGCGAAATATCGCTCCTAAATCTCCTACAGTAACCCAAAATGAAAATTTCCAGATCCATGAAGACGGAGAGCTGAAATGCCGAACAGTAACCACCCCACCAACCTCTCCAACAGTAACAGTTGCTGCCAATTGATTTCTGAAAATTTTTGAGTTTTTTCTTCCGTTTCTAGTCATTTTTTCCATTTTTCTCCATTTTTTAAACAATTTTCTTCCTTTTTCACACTCCTTGGGTATCAAATTTCCAATCCCATCATGTCTTTTCTTTTCAATTTCCAATTTATTTATATAAATCCCGATAATTGCTCTTTCATTCTCTAAAAAGAACACAATGCCCTCTCTCCAATTTTCCATTCATTCATTCATTTTTTGAAAATCTAATGTGCCCTTTGAAAAAAGTATTATGAATCGAATATTCTGTCATGTACATAATGTGGTTTCCTTCATATAATACTTTGCCCCTCTCCTCTCTTGTGTAGGTTTAGACAGTTTGACATAAAAACAACAACAATGAAACTTGTATTATGATTTTTGTTTTGTTTTTTTTATAGATGTAACTGGGTCTGGTTTAGAGACAAAGACAATGGGATTACAAGGGGGAAAAAGTATCTGAACCACGAACATGAATAGAAAATTTTTAATGGGATTAATTCAGAGGTTCTGTCAATGTCATTTTGATAAAAACAGAACTGATTGGATTACTGTAACATTGGAATGTTGTCAAGCTTGTAATAGAACGGTTTCCAATATTGGATTACTCTAGGACTATAAACTAGAAAATGCAGTTCCACGTGCAAGCTTACAGTGACCACTGTATTTCAGGTTTTGATAAACAAGGAAATACAGCACATTTACTTTTTTGCAATCCTAAAAAAATTTGGGTCGAGCAAGAGAAACTGGGAATCCAAGACGCCCATCAAATATATACCAAACCGTCCTCATGACTTGTTGAAAGTATAGTTTTTCAAAATGTAACTGAACATCCTCCCCGACGATTAGGGACAAGCTTCCCGGTGGGCATAGCGCGACCGCTAGCGTTTTTGGCAATCTGTCAGGCTGGTCATGGGTTCACACCCACCAAAAGCCTCTATCATCTAAATTTTGGACGAATTTTTTTGAGCTCTGCCCTCTTTGAACTGAAAAACGTTTCATTAACCTTAAAAGCGCAGCATGAGTCTCACCATGAAGAAGCGTGTACTGCAGGGCTTTTCATTTTCAAACCAGCCTGCCCATGCGCCTCCGGCGCATTTGCAGTCTGGACTGTTCGCGGCTACGCCGCTCACAAAATTTCAATTTGATTCAGCGTGATTTTCTTTTATCTATTTCTTTTTGCTCTATAAATTTTGTGCGGGTTTAGCGCAGTGGGGAAAACACGTGATTATCATTCAAAAGGTCCCAAGTTCAAGTTTTGCTCGTGAACTTTCTATTCCTTCATATTCCGCGGACATCGCGACAGATCTTCGAACAAACGGACGGAATCCACGGGCGTTTTATATATAAGAATGATTGACTATTCATTTCTATTTTCTCATGTTTTTCTGGATCGGAACGCATCATATTCGTACGGATTTCTTAAAATCACAATAATCTCATAATCGTGGTGTGACCTATCCGAAACAGTTGCGTGCGCCTTTGAGGTGTGCTGAACTCTTAGTGTAGAAGGTTCCCGACAGAGTTAACGAGTCCTAAACAGGGCTGTCAGAATTGAGCCTGCGGCTAGCTGCGGATAAGCCAAATGGTCTTAATTTCAGCACAGTGACTAAAATCTCCAAGGCAGCCATGCCTGAGAACTGAAATAAAAATTGGCCGACAGCCCTAATCCTAACCGTCACTCGTTTTTTTTCCCTAAAAGTTACGGTAGCTGTAAAAGAGGGTCCGCAAACACCGCAGTACGCTGACGCAAAATTACAGGAAAAATCCCTTTAACTGGCCCCGTGAACTGTCCTGTTCTAGAACCCTAATTTCTAACAAATCAACAGAAATGACCACATTTTGAAGTTCCTTAACCGGATTACCCCGTGAAACCCTAATAACAAAACCCCCATTTTTTTCTATTCACATCCTATTTCTTTTCTAAATTCATTCCCCATAAAACACTCTATCACCAAGAGTCTCTCTCTCTCTCAAAAATCGATTCTGCAGAATTGAACACGATTTCAGAATGAAAGTAAGTCTTTTTCATCTAATCATCCCTCAAACTCTCCTTTTCAGTTGGACGTCTCTTCTCCATGTAACTCTCTAATTCTTCTTCTTCAATTCTTCTCCATTTTCATCGTTTTGATGGTCTCATGTGGAAAAAAGAAGGCTTCAAAAAGCAAAGAAACGAGTAGAAAGAGTTCAGAATCAGCGAATAATACGGGTGGATTGGGAGCTGTTCCAACGACTCCAGAACCTCCAAAACCATCATCTGCAGAAGCAGTTCCGAAGAAGGAAGAATCGGAAAAACCAGTTGAAAAACCGAAGGAAGAGTCGAAAAAAGAGGAAAAGCCAAAGGAGAAATCGAAAAAATCACAGAAATCGAAGAAGGAGGGAAAGGAGGAGGAGAAGAAAGATGGGGTATGATAAGTTTTTACTGGAAACTTCCGAAAATTTGTAGAAATTGGGTGACTGAAAGCTCTTTGAAATTTGAGACTTGTTCAGAGAAAAATATCATAAATTTGAGATTTTCATTCAATATTCCTTTTCTCATATTTTCAGGATGACAACGGTTACGAGAACTGTGCTGACATGACTCCAGACGAGTTGAAAAAGATTGCAGATCAGGCGGATGGAAAGAAAAAATGAGAAGGAGTTGATTGAAACTTGTAGATTTTTTTGAACAGGAATGAAACGATTTTGAAACTTTCGCACATTCTTTTTGAATATGTAAAGCAATGATTTTTGAAATCGGTCTCAAATCTAACGTCGTCACCCATCTGATCAAAAAACGTAAGATAATTAGTACAACTACTTCAGGGAGTGTGTTTCAAGTTTGATGCCACTCAATTAGGAATAGGTGGTCAAGGGAGAATATTTTGATCTTTTGATTCAAACTGGAGAAGACCGTACAACTGATCAACCAAATTGGGATTTGATCAGCTGGTAGCGTGAAGTTTGTAATTTGTAGTCCGTACCTGCTAGTAGAGTCGTCATCGATACCTATGAAGATTGGAAAGCAATAAATTGAAGAAAAAATTTACAAGTGGCGGGGAACGAACCCACATCATCCAGCACCACTACCATCTGCCATAGCCACTGCGCCACGTATACCCCGCGAAATTTGAAATTGGTCAGCAGGACCTAGATGACTCGCCAGCCGACTCTATCTTGGGGCTCAATATGGATCTGGCTGAAGGATTTTGTCAATTTTTGATCCAGAAATGGATTCACCATGATCAATTTAGTTTGGTCACGAATTTCTAGAAGGTTCCTAGACTGCTCCGAATGGTTCTCCTCCATAGCCACTGCGCCCCGTATACCCCGCGAAATTTAAAAATTGGTCAAGAGGGCCTAGATGACTCACCAGCCGACCCTATCCTGATGCTCAATATGGACCTCGCGGAAATGTTTTGCTGGTTTTCATTGCAGAAATTGATTCAAAATGATCGAATTGCTATGGTCTCGAAATTTTAGAAGGCTCCTAAGTTGCTCCGAATGGTTTGTTAGCAAAAATCGTAGCTTGGTTAAAAGTAGGTACTCCTAAAAACTATAGTTTGTAGTTTGTAGTTAGATATGTTCAGAATGCTTCTGAATCCGATTTTTCATTTCCAAACATTTCCAATCTATGAGAGGTAATACAGACGTTCAAAAACTACCGTAATCCTTCCCCATCAACCCTCAATTTGCGGAAACCTGTCGAACCTCTTGAACGTTTCGCACATTTGCTCAACTTCCAATAGGTTTTTTTCGAGCAGGATCAGTGTCACGTTTTCTCTCTCTCTCTCTCTCTCTCTCTCTCTCTCTCTCTCTCTTTCTCGATTTCAAATATTTGACATAAACTGTACATAAAGTGTTTGTTTGTTTGACCTGCTCCTACATTGTCTGTGGGCCCCCAACTCACGAGAGAAGGTGCAAAACCGGAAATTCCAGTTAGGAGAGCAGCTGAATCAGATGATTCGGACACAGAGAAAAGGTTGATACTATTCTTGTTTTTTCTTCGAGGGGGATTGCATAAAGTAGTAGTGACCTAATTGACAGAGAATGAGGGATGGGAGGGGGAGGGGGAGGGGATGGCATAAGAGGAAACGGGTAAAGTAGCCGAATTATAAATGCATACTCGGTTCCAGATAAGCACGGAACGGGATCCTGAAGGATGGTATAAAAAGGCGTCGGATGGTTTTGTAATCTCATCAGTTCCAGCTTCTTCTTCTCTTCTTTTTGGCCATTCGGTTTCTGATCCAGATGACGTGGCAGTAATAAAAACCTATCTCTTCTCTGGTCGACTATAAATATTTACAATCTTGAATAACGCCTCCCGTTCCATCCTATAAAAGATATCTTCAGAAACCCGTCACCGTCCTTCATCTGCAGAATGCTTCGCCTCACTCTCCTCTCCGTCGTTTTTATCGCCTCCACAACCAACGGATTCCTATTCCCAATGGCTGGAGGAGGTGGTGGATGTGCACCACCTCCACCACCACCACCATCTTGTTGTCCACCTCCACCATGCGGATGTGCTCCACCACCGCCACCACCGCCTCCACCACCGCCAATGTGTGGATGTGGATGTGGAAGGAAGAAGAGAGAAGCTACTGAAGTGGAGCAAGTTGAAGGCGTTATTAATATGGATAGCAATTTGGAGTGCAATAATGAAGAGTTGAAGAGTGTTTTGGAGAAGGTTAGTTAGTTTATTAGGTGTCAGGGATCAAAAATTTGCATCTAAAAAAAGAAAAAAAGAATTGGCCTCATCCGGGGTTCGAACCCCCGATGAAAATTTCCGCAGCAGCAGTGTTAGCCGCTGCGCCACACAGTGCGAAGTAGAGTTAGAGAGGGAGGGGGTAGACATTATTACCTCCTCTCGCCTTTGTCCTCATAGAAGTTTCCCAACTAAAAATATCTCGAAAAAATAATTTCCTACAAGTTTTCCAATGAGAACTTATCGATTTTTGCGCTTTTTCACTGGAAACTGATATAGGATTCTCCTCACACTACACTAGGTTTTATTTAGCCAGGAATACCGTGAGGCCAAGAATTAACCATGAGAAATCACTGGAAAGTTGTTTTCCGCTCCTAAATTCCGATTTTAAAAAAAGAAAAAAAAATTGCCTCCACCGGGGGTCGAACCCGCGATGGAAAATTGCTGGCCAACAGCGCTAACCGCTGCGCCACACACTGCGACCGAAAGCTAGGGAGGGAGGGCATACAGATTACAGTGTCCTCGTTCCTTTTCTGCTTCCCCACTCATCTCTCCTCCATTTCCAGAACATGAAAACCACACCATCCGAATCCCTTCTCTCCGTCCGTTCATCCCTACCTTCCGATGAATATTTCGTGATGTGTACCCATGGATTAACCGCCTATTCTGCTCCATCTGGCACCAAGAATTGTGCGGTTCGAAAGGAAAATCACTTCTGCCAGATTTTCTCATTGAACGATTCCAACTAATTTATTTACTTTTTTTCTTTACTGGAAAAAAAATAAAAAAAATGTAACGAAGCGACTTGTCATTATTTGTAAATTTTGTGCTCAAATAAATATTATTCTTGATAATTTTTGGGATCATATCACTCATGAAGTTTTCCATGCGCCTTCTGAATTCTTTCCCTTCTCATTTCCTTCGCAATCACTTTCTCTCTTTCCTTCACTTTCCTCTCATCTTCCTCCTCGTTTTCAATTATATTATCAAGAAATCTGTCCACCAATTCTCTGAAAAAACACGATTACCTCTATTAAAAGGGCATGTAAACTCACTCAAAACAAGGTCTATCCACTGGTTGTTTTCTCATACAATCCATTGCAATATCATAGATTGCTGCAGACATTTTCGGTGTTCTATCACATCGATATCCGTCGTTCAGGTACTGATACAAGTTGTTGGCAGGCACCAATGCTCCATACGGCTCTCCAATTTTATCGCAAACTTCGAAACAAGTGATTCCGAATGCCCAAACGTCAGTTTTCAGTGATAGAGTCCTACTGGAAAGTACTTCAGGAGGCAGCCATTTGAAGGGAATCTTATTCGGATCATCGTAGTTTGTGTACAACTCATCGAGACATGTCTTCGCAAGACCGAAATCTGTGATCTTGCAGATGTACCTGAAAATTGAGGTTTTGGTCAAGGTGGGCTTATCAAGCGCCTGTCAATTGAATGCTATCATTAACCTTAAAGAAAAAACCTTAAAACCTTAAAGGCGCAGGGTATATGGTTTTTCTAAGTCACAGTAATCCCTTCAATCATGGTGAGATCTTGTCAAAAAACTCGAGCGCCTTTGAGGTGAATGGAACGCTTGTTCGTTTTTTATACCTTGTGAATTTCGCAGTACGTTTGCTCTCTTTGGGTCAAAATTGGGTATTTTCAGGTCCAATTCAGGTCTTGTGAGGTCATATTTAGGCATTTCTAGATCAAGAGACGCAGAAGGATAGAGAGTCTAGGTTCTCTGCGTCTCTCACTGCCGCAGCGCCTGGCATAGCTCGCTTTTATTGAGCTAGAAACTCGGTTTTCCGTCATTTTCAACGTAATGAGCTGAGCTTTCGAAGAATATAGAATTTGGAAACCTAGGCCACGGCCGCGGAAAAAGTTAGGCCACCGAATATCAAAAGGGCATAACTTTGTTCAACGAGAAGATACCGTAATTTGCTAGTAGCTGATTAGCTGTTGAAACAAAAATATACAACTTGCCATTACCGGGTCATGCAAAAACTGACACTTCGCAACTAACGTTAGTTCTGAGACGGTGACATTTCGCAATCAGACTTTCTTAACAACTACGTTTAGCTATTATGCCAATCTGTATGAAAGACAGTTGTGGCCGGCGTCCAGACCCGGCGTCCCACCACGAAAACTACCGTATAAATTTAATTGCTACAGTACGTACGGTAGCATTTTATTTTATTATTTGGCGTCATTCACCAGTTGCGAAATGTCTGGTTTTCAAATGTCCTACCCCTTTTAAAACCAAGAGAACCCACTTCTTATGATAGACGGGATGCTTCTTCAAAAGAACATTCCTTGCTGCCAAATCACCATGAACAACTGGAGGGGTTCTCGTGTGAAGGAAGCTCATTCCACGACAAATCTGAGCAAGAATATCCGATTTCTCATTTTCAGAAAGTGTTGCATCTGATTTATCGATAAACTTGTCAAGAGAAGTTTCCATCAGTTCAAAAATCAACAAAAGAGTGCTATGATTTGGAAACTCGGTTTCTCCGGTGTGATTCTCCATCGAGTATCCATAATATCCAACGATATTCGGATGAGCCATCATCTCTAGAATCTCCATTTCACTGAATGCCGTATTCCTCTCATCCTTATCGTCCTCTCTCAATTCCAATTTCTTGATTGCTACTGGAACACTCTCTCCCGTTGCACTTCTCGTCAGTTTTCCTTTTGTCACTGCTCCAAATGCTCCTTTTCCAATTTGAGCACCCGGGTCTTTCTGAAGAAAAAGAAAGTCAATTTACAAAATTAAAGAGAACTCACAATGTCACTCCTCTCAATATAAAATGGAGAGTTGATTCGAATCGAAGTCTCGTGAAGAACCACTTTATCCCATTGTTTTTGAATCTTCGGCGGCTCTTTTTGCCCTTTTTCACTCTCCGATTCTTTAGATGTTGTTATTGGAATAACCCTTTTTCTCAAATAAGAATTGACCAATTCACTTTCAGAACCATCCAATTTCAATCGATTCTCCACTTTTTTATGAAGCTGTTTATCAATATCAAAGACTGTTTTCGTCGCGAAAAGTGTCTTCTCATCACATTCGAATCGACGGGTCACCTCATCGAAATGTGTAGCTGCCCATTGCTCAATTTGCATTGGTTGACATCGTAAGTCTTTTTGAAATCTTTGAGTGGGTGGGGGTACTGTATTTCTGCCAACAACAAGAGGAGACGATCTACAGTAGACGAGTTTATGGGGAAGAGCTGATCGATGGGTGGAGAGATGATGAACCAGGTCGTAGAGGGTCTCGTATCGTTCACCCATCAACTCGTAGTGTCCAAGGGAAGAGCGGTGGATGGGGACTACCTGGAAATTGTGGTTCGGCAAATTCAAGGCTAAAAGTGAGCTTTGTTGTAATAGCTGAAATCCGTGAGATAGGATGCCGAGTCTGCGAACACCGCAGCACATGCAATCAAGTCAAAATGCAGACCTTGTTCGGAAAACTGAAATTTGAAATACCGCGCGATTCGAGCGGAGCGCATTTGCTTGACCTGTACAGGCCGGATTACTTGTTTTTTTTTGCAAAACTATGTTAAAAAATACAATACTATTGCCGACCGCGATGAGACCTTTTCGAAAATCATTGCGTGCGCCTTTAAGGTAAACGTGCCTTGCTTCACCTTGGATCCTACACTCAAAAAACGATCAAAACGTTTTCAATCGTCGTTAGATCTGTTCAAAACAATTGTGTGCTTCTTCAAGGCCACCCCGGCTATTAGGGAGGCACCACCATGTCCGTGCCCTGGTAATAGGGAGGAGACAGAAACCCATTTCCTACGGAAATACATAATAACCTACCGCTGGCTCAAACGGAGTCGTCTCAATCTCCGACATGAATTCAATATATTGCATCTTTGCCGACTTCTCACTCTGCCTATTCTCCGGAAACATTTCTCCGAAGAAATGATTTATCGAGTTGACCATTATTCCGTAGTCTGAAATCAACGGCTTCGATTTGTCCCTTCAATTCCCATTCACTCACTTCCTCTCTCAATTTCAATTAATTCTCTCAATGCGTCATCATGTTTCTTATCCCTTTCAATTAGAATCATTAGAAAATAGCAGCGATGTTCATCGAGATCAATGTTGAGCCAGACTGGAGAGAAGATTCCGAATAGTCCGGGACAGAGAGCTGATCTATCACTGTAGAGTTTGTGAATCACTTCATGCACTTCTGCATTTCCATGATACCAAACAGGCCATTTGAATAAGAGGGGGTGTTCTGAATTGGAAATTTATAGCGGGGGTTCAGTGGGTGCTTTGTTGAATTCAAAGAAGCTTTCCTTTATTTCAAAGGCGCAGCGTTGCTATTACCACAGGGAGCGTGATTTCAAGTAAACGCGCTCTGCCGCAATAATCCCAGGTTTCGGAGGCAATTCAAAATTTTCATAATTTTAGGTTCGTTTTCTGATGAAATGTCTAGCTTTTCGACAAAATTCAGTTATTAGAAAAATTGGATTGTCTTAAAATCAATTTTCATCAGATTTTTATTTGTCACGGGCCGGACGCCCGGAAAATTACCGCGAATTTCGAAAAATCAGAAATATAGGCCCAATTTTTGAGCTCCAGGGTTATTATGAGCATAATTCAAAATTCTTGGAATCCGGGCATCTGGACCGAGCGGGGCCGAAATTTCACAAGTATGGGTTTTTTCATCAATTACTTCAAAACTGATCGGAAAAAATCCAATTAAAGAATGAGCGATAAAGAATGAGCGCAGTAAGTTCTTAGAACTGAAATTTGAATAGCCGCGCAATTCGAGTGAAGCGAACTTGCTCAAAATGGACACTGTCAGTTACTCAGGCTAAAGGCCTTTTCCAATTTAGGCCCTAGAATTTGTCGGATCTTACCGTCATAAAACTGTTTAGAAACAATATAATGTGACGGAATCAGACCCATGTACGGATTCACATTCCTCTCTGTTATCCATCTCCCCAACGACCATTGAAACGGCATTCTCATGAATGATCCGTCGTCAATAACTCGAACTCTGAAAGTTATCCACTAGAATTTAGTCACTGCAAAAGACCACCCACTGATATTCCTCAGCCACGACATGAACCATATCCCCTGCATGAACATTCAAATCATCATAACCATTTCCTCCGAAGTAGTCCCATAGTGCAATACATTCCATTTCATATGACTCCCCACAGAGAATGAATGGGGAGAATCCAGCTGCTTCATTCAGATTTTCGAATAGAGCATCGTCAGGACGATCTCTTCCATCGATGTCGTATCCGAGACGATCAGCTAGGTGATCCAGAGTTTTGATCATTGTTTCTCGGTCTTGGATGTTCTGGAAATTTATTGATGGGAAAACTTTTCAGCTGTAATCCGTTTCCCGAGTGTTTTGAAGTTGTCCGAGACTCTAGGAAATAGAAAAAAATAGCTGGAACTTTGGAAAACCATACGGGATCATGAATAATGGCTTCGCGACATTTTGAAACTCTGAT